AAGAGCTTCTTCCTGTCTTCAAACACCAGAAGCTCCACCCAGTGCAAGGAGGACAAGCAGAGCAGCAGGACAAAGATGAAACCTGAGAGGCTGGCACAGAACATGCGAGTGTAGCTTCGGGCCTTCTCTAGGAGGTCCAGGTGCTCTTGCTAGTGGGGTGCCATACCGTAGAACTGGGCCATGTGGTAGGGAAAAATTGACTATGGTGGAGAAGGGAGGAAGACATTATGAGAGGAATCTCATCTCAAGCATCTCCATCTCCACTAACAGAAAGATAAGTCCTGGATCCTACGAGGGAGGGAACTCTGTTCTCTCTTCACACTTCAGGGTCTTTTTCTCCTGTGCACCAGAGCCTCCCATAGGTTTCTATTTTTTTAATATTAACTCTTTTTTTTTTTATATTTCTTTTTCACCCATCCTCCTCAAACTAAAATAATAATAATAAATAGGAGTAGTCTTTGCCTCTTCCACCTTGACATTTAAGCTGCTTTCTCCAAAAGGACCCCACACTACTCAGACCCCACAGGCTTCCTTGCCCTGTATATTGGTTCATTTATTGTGCTGGCATTGTAAGAACTGTGGAATATCATGGCATTTTCTTCTCTGCTTTGCATCCTTGCTTCTGGCCCACGGCTCTTCTGTCATAGAACCTAATCTGCTCTGCCCTAACTCCCCTTTCTATCCCTCCCCCACCCCAGGGGACAGCACCAGCAGGAGTCAGAACACACCACATCGGTACAATGTCTCATTTGCTAGATCTGGTCAGATCTCTCTCTCACCCAGATCTCTGCTGAGTTCCAGATGCCCTTAGCAAACTGCCTACTGAAGCCAGATTTCTTACTGACACATCATACCCAAGATGTCTTTAAGAAATGCAATAATCTTCTTTCTCTTTATCCTGCACCCACTCCTTTTCTTAATTCCCACCACTCAATCACAACGTGTCTTGCCAGTTCTAACTTTTTAAAGTTTTCAAACCCACCCTGTATGTCTGTTTCCACTTCCTTAAACCATCTCTTTGCTGTGTCTGTCCTGGATTTCTGTAGCACCTTTTTACCTGGTCTTTCTGTTACCAAGCTTGCTCTCCTTCAGTTTATTCTTCACCAAGTTACCAAGATTAAGGCCTCTAAAAAGCAAATCCGATTGTCTCTCTTGCTTAAAATACTCTCATTACTCCCCACTGATAGAAAGCAAAATCCTAACCTGTTGGAATAAATTGGTAAAGTCCTGCAAGATCTAGGTTTTGGTCACTTATTTAGCTTCATTCAATTATTCAGTATTTCTGAGTGGTAAACATGATGTGGACATCATATATAGACTGGTAGATCAGTATCAGTGATCCAAGAATGAGACTAACTCCCACCTCCTTGTATGAAGTAGCAAAGTTTTCCTAGACTTGCCTAGTAGGATTTTCTTAGTGGTTATTCAGGTAGGAGGCGGTTTCTCATTTCTCTGGCTCATCTCTTTCCCAGTATATCATTGATGGAAGCTGAACTTAATGCTCCAAATGGCATCAATACTTTCTTTTCTTTCTTTCTTTCTTTCTTTCTTTTTTTTTTTTTTTTTTTTTTTTTTTGAGACAGTCTCCCTCTGTCACCCAGGCTAGAATGCAATGGTGCAGTCTTGGCTCACTGCAGCCTCCCCCTCCCTGTTCAAGCAATTCTACCACCTCAGCCTTCTGAGTAGCTGGGATTATAGGCATGCACCACTACACTTGGCTAATTTTGTATTTTTAGTAGAAATGGCACTTCACCATACTGGCCAGGCTGGTCTTGAACTCCTGGCCTCAAGTGATCCACCCGCCTCAGCCTCGGAAAGTGCTGGGATTACAGGTGTGAGCCACCATACCCAGCCAGGATCAATACTTTCTCCCATTTCACACTCTTGTTCTTCATTTCAGATTGACAGGACTGAACACAATATGAGAAAAAGGAGTATTTGGGTCCAGGTATTGTATAATGTGGTAGAAAACAGGATGAATCTTTATGTAATAAAGTAGTTACAGATGGAATGTCAATGTCCTAAGTAGTAGCATTCTAGTTCCAACTAAGGTAGATGATTTCTATTTGTCAAGAGCACTGTGTAGCATCTTTAATTTGAGTTGCCTTTCTGGGCCCTAGTGCTAGTTGGGTCCTTTGCTCGCCAGTGGGTGTTCTATAGACCTTCTTAGACCTAGGAGTAGATGCTTTCTCTACCTAAATCCTGTGGGCCTTAACGCTTTCATGTTTTCTGGCAAACTTCCAGTAGCCAACATCTGCATCTGTTTTCCTAAAGACTTTCGCTGGAGCCAGGAAAGGATTCTCTCCCTAAGCTGGCCCAGATGTTCTAGGGAATTAATATCTGGCTCTGAGTAGCCCTCAAGCAGATCCCTGGCCCTGTGTGTGGGAGGTCTGTGAAGCATGGATTTTATGTTGCTCCCATTATCTCTGCAGGATTAAGCTCTTATTGACCATAGTGGCAGGAAGCTTGATAACGCATCCTTTATTGGTTGCCTTATTTCCCTTTTTCACTTTCCTCACTTCCCCTCTCCGCTTTTCCACCTTATGTTTGACTTAACATCCTGAGATGGAGATAAAAGTATGAAAAGTAGGAATGACTTCTGGACATTGGACACCCAACTAAAGAGGCAGAACCTACTACTTGCTCAAAACTGTAGTGGTTCTTAATCACAACATCTAAGGGAGATGATAAACTTCCAAGAGAAACAGTCTGATAGTTCCTCAACCTACCTCCAGTTATGTCAAAGGACAGTGTAAAGAACATACAGGGCCAGGTGTGGTGGCTTTTGCCTGTAATCCCAGCACTTTGGGAGGCCAAGACAGACAAATCACGAGGTCAGGAGATCGAGACCATCCAGGCCAACATGGTGAAACCCCGTCTCTACTAAAAATACAAAAAAATTAGCTGGGCGCGGTGGCACACACCTGTAGTCAAGCCAAGTGAGCTGAGATCATGCCACTGCACTACAGCCTAGGCGACAGTGCAAGACTCTGTCTCAAAAAAAAAAAAAAAAGAAAAAGAGGGCCGGGCGCCATGGCTCAAGCCTGTAATCCCAGCACTTTGGGAGGCCAAGGCGGGTGGATCACGAGGTCAAGAGATCGAGACCATCCTGGTCAACATGGTGAAACTCCGTCTCTACTAAAAATACAAAAAATTAGCTGGGCATGGTGGTGCGTGCCTGTAATCCCAGCTACTCAGGAGGCTGAGGCAGGAGAATTGCCTGAACCCAGGAGGCGGAGGTTGCAGTAAGCCGAGATCGCACCATTGCACTCCAGCCTGGGTAACAAGAGCGAAACTCCGTTTCAAAAAAAAAAAAAGATTGTGAACCCAGGAAGCAACCAGTTAATGTATAGGTTAGGGTTTGTGTGTGAGTGGTAATGTGAGGAAGGGGAATTGGCTTTGACTCCATGTCTGTTCTTACAACCAGACAAAGGCCCAGGAACAGCCTGAAGAGCGTCTGAACTGAGACCACTTGAAGTAAGGAGGCAGAAGTAATTCTGCCATGACAAAATTCACCTGGTTGGAAGAGGGGCATGAAGAAAAGGGTTTTCTAAGGCAGGATCAAATGAGGTGTGTGTATATATGTCTGTGTATCTGTGTGTGGGTGCATACACACAAAGAAAGGGAGAAAAAAGAAAACGGAAGGCATCCAGTTTCTACAGGAGCAATGAAAGATTGTCTCTGCTTAAAAGCTAATTCTCCAGTAGCATGTAGCAGTAACTGTATGTAAGCTCCTACCCACAGGAATAAAAGCCTAAGTATTAACCTAAAGAGCTTCCAGTCACTATTTGGAAATGTTTGGGAATTATTGATCAGGACCAGGATTATAAGAACTATATAATTGCTCAATGTCTATTATTTTTGTTTTCTGCAAAGATTACTAGTGAATCCCTAAATTAAACCAAAATGACCCAAAGTCTTATCTTTACATCCAGCAAGAGGGGAAGCTGAATACTGTTGTCCACTCCATCGCCAGCTTTGGAGAGAAGAATAGATCTCAATCAATAGAGTAGTAGTGGCAGCAACTAAGGGTATGAAAGACAAAATGAGTATCAGGGACCTTATGCATGAAATCTAGTCTGAGTGTGAAAGGGATCTTTAGTCATCAAAAGACCTGTATGATTGCCTGAAAATACCACTTCCTCCCCTGTACTTAATTTTACAGGATATATAAAATATGGAAAATCTTTCAGCTTATATAGATATAGACGTAGATGGATTATAGATATAGATATATAGATCTATCTATCTATCATCTATTAATCTGTCATCTATCTATTGATCTATCTACTAGATATCTGCTGAAGGAAGCCCTTTAGTTCCATTTGGCTCAGTAAAACGTAGTTGATGCTTAAGGAATGAAAGGGGCCACAGGCCTGTCAACAATTTGATGGAACTTACATGAGCCTATCTTCTTGGGGCAGGGGAGAATCTGACGGAATCTCTGGCTCTCTTCACAGAAGAATACATATATAAGTTTTGTATAGAATTTCAGGGAGTTTGTGGATGCCTGGTTAAGGTAGCTCCCTGCCTAGGGAAAAGTAGTGGTTTTAGCTAATAGGTTTTACGTAAAGCTTTCAAATTACCAATCCTCACAGGAAGTAAGACCTCATGGATTCCCTATAATCTACCCAGCACCTCTCAGTTCCTTTGAGGAGCAGGTCTTATATCCATTGATATTTATTCTATTTCTGGTATGCTGTCAAGTTCAGATTCAACAGTATTTGTCCAAGAGCTTTCCATCCTGAGTATACCCAAAGCCACACATAATAAAGAAAATTCCAAACAGAAGTAATTAACGTGCTTCTCCATGGGCCATTCTGGTCCATGAGTTCCCTGATACCCAAAGAGATCACTGCTCTACACACTGCATCTTTCACCAGTTTCTTTCATTCATGACTCTAAACAACGTCTTTTTTTTTTTTAGAAATGTTTTTCTTAAGTGAGTTATTACTCACTTTATGACTATCATACATATTTTTGACCCAATGCACACAAAAGACATTTCATTAGCTTTAATGCTATCTTCTCCTGAAATATGGACATGATATTAGGAGGGTTTCCAAGATTTTATGCAGTCATTCCCAACTTAGCTTCTCCCCTACTTTTAAGACAAGCAATAGTTAGGTTTTCCTATCACCATCACAGTCCTGCCTTTGGTAAATTTTTCTGTCTCACATTTAGAGATTTCATCTTAGACCTTGGCCCTTCATTTTTAGCAGGTGATACTGTAGTCACTGGACCATACCCCAGCCTTGGTCTCACTGTTGGAATCACAGTAATACTTTCATCATGGGTAGGAGATCTGGAAGTAAAGTAGTTGAGAAGAAAGACGATCCCTGGGGGAAGAGAATAATTTGAGGTGAGATTCAATAGGCAATGGTCTTTTGGCTTTTAAAATTCTTACCCATCCTTTAATAACCAGCTTAAGAGGCATCTTTTCAGTGAACCCTTCTCCCCGCCAGCAGAGTTACTTTACCCTCCTGTGCTCCAATTGCATTATAGTATTTCTCAGACTGGTTAGGACAAAGCTTGAACCTCCTGGATTCAGATCTCTGTTCCACTATTTTCTGTGTGGTCTTGGCCAAGTTGCTCAAGTTGTCCATGCCTCACTTTGTGATATAACAAGTTACTAATGCTAGGTTTTCACACTCCGAAATCCACCCTTCCTTCATTACACTATACTGACCCTCCAAGTATCAGTGTTCTGAAAAGGAACAGTCAGTGCTTCTATTTCTCCTAGATTACACCTCCCTTTCCAGAAGTGATTTCCCTATCTATCCTTCTAGCATAGAGCAGGGGAGTGACTCACCAGCAAATGTGTAAAAGAAGTCACTGAACCAGTTAAGATAATAGGTCCATAGGAGATCTGACTCCATGTCATCCCTAGTATGCCAGTGAACCTGTGCCACAAACAGGTTGAGACAGAGGAGCAAGCAGGTAGCTGGGATCAGAAGGAAAGATGTCATAATCCATCAGCATCTTCAGTCTGCCTTCCCTGCCACCCCCTAGCTCTTTGGCCTCCAGAGGCCAGATGTATGGCAAGGATAGAAAACATAAAAACTTGGGGATTGACCAAGATGAGAGAATGGGATTTATACCCTGGTAAAGTCAGCTAAGATGTGCTCTATATAATTAGGTAAGGCAGGTAGCTGGCAAGTTGGCGTGATACTGAAGAAGAGCAAAGAGATAAGAAAAAGTATGAGAGTTCCATGGAGAAACTTTGTTACCTTGACTGTTTTACCATGGTATTCCCTGCCAGTATCGGTCTGTACCTGAGATGAAGCTGAGCATGGATACCTTCAAATCCAAGTTGGTGGTCATGCTTCTTCTACTGGGGAGGCCAGAGCTGAAGAGCCAGCCAAGGCCAATGAGTATGGTGAAGATAGAGATGAGAAAGAAGGCCCTGGAATATTGGAGATAATCTGCAGGAAGAAGAGAAAAGGAAGAGTGTGGTTAGTCCAGGGAGGGACCTTCCCTTAAGAAAGCCAGATGGACTGTTAGAGAAGAATATAGGGACAAAGGAGGATGGAGCAGAGCTTGCTACATGGCATCCTTTTTGCTTGGAATTTCTTTACTATGATTGTTAAAATGAAGATAACATTCAAATACTCCTGTGTGCATTGATTTAGGTATAAACTAGCTTATAAGAGGTGTGACCAATGACAAAACAGATTAAACCTTTTTCTTGTTTCTAATTCTAAAAGTAATACACATTCAACATAAGTATTGAAAAGACTACAAAAGAACAAAGAAGCAGGAAGAAAATCAGCCACAATCCCACTACTTAGAGGAAACCATTTTTTTAGCCGCCCCCCGACAGAAACCATTGTTAATATTTTATTTTTCTACCCTCTGTACATAGGAGATATGATACTAGATGTCATGTGGGTTTTTTCTTAAGAATATGTGATTTGATTTCCCCAGATATCTGTTGTAAATATTATTTTCAACGGCTACAAAATATTCTATCCTATTAATATATTTTGCTTAATGATTTACCCATTGCTAGTTCCATTTGTCTTTCACTTTCAGCTGTATCTGGCATGTACAGGCCTTGTCAGCCTATGGCTACAAAATGAAGTCACATTTACTTTATTTATTTAATTTATTTATTTTTTGTTTGTTTTTTATAAAGACAGGGTTTCACCATGTTGGTCAGGCTGGTCTTGAACTCCCGACCTCAGGTGATCTGCCCGCCTTGGCCTCCAAAGTGCTTGGATTACAGGTGTGAGCCACCACGCCTGGCCACTTTATTTATTTTATTGTTATTATTTGTTTGAGAGGGAATCTCACTCTGTCACCCAGGCTGGAGTGCAACGCCACAATCTAGGTTCACTGCAGCCTCCACCTCCTGGATTCAAGTGATTCTCCTGCCTCAGCCTCCTGAGTAGTTGGGATTACAGGCACATGCCACCACGCCTGGCTAATTTTTGTATTTTTTTAGTAAAGGTGGGGTTTCACCATGTTAGCCAGGCTGGTCAGTGACCTGACCTCAGGTGATCCGCCTGCCTTGGCCTCTCAAAGTGCTGAGATTACAGGCATGAGCCACTGCACCCAGCCACATTTACTTTAATTCCCATATTATAATGACTTCAAGCCCCAATTTACCAAACTGCAGGAACTTACCACAAAATGTCTCCCTTTTTTTTATTCTGAGAGTCCCCTCAAAGTCTTATCTCATATTCTTTCAAGTTGCTCTGATGCCCTTATCCAAGTACCACACCTCTCCTTCCTCCACCTCTTGGATCTAGGTGTCTTCTCCTTGGCTTTCCCACTGTGGACTGGATGTTGGTAAGAGAGCAGGAGGGACATGCTCAAACTTACTTTTTGCTACCACATCCCTACGATGAATCAGTTTCTTCCTTTGACTTCCCCAGCAATATTTTACTGAAGATTTAGAAGGTAACTTACAATTACAAGTAGTTGTAGCTTTTCTGAGCTACCAGAGATCCAGGAATATCTTCAGTATCCTTTATAAGGTGCCTCCTTGTCTAGCTTCTTTTTCTGTCCCAGTGTAGCAGGGACCAGTCACCCCCAACATTGAAAGTTCTTTAACCACTTATATGCCTAAGAATCCAAACCCAGCTTCTGAGTAACCCAGAGAGCAGAAATTATGCATCAAGTTTAACTGGTCTAATACCTGCCTTGTTGTTTCATTTTTTTCTCTAGAACCTGCCATTTAGTAATACAACGAATTACAGGAATTTCCATTAAGAGAAACCACACCCCTACCCACAGAGGTTAAGTTCCTCTGTGGCCCCAACAAGTGAGCCACATTAAAACATAGTAATTCACAACCTGCACATTTTCTGAACACTGGATTATTCAGAATTAGCAGTATATGTAGCCAGCCATAACATAATCCCAGATTGAGCTGTATGAAGCCCAGGGTAATGGGTATCCTTTGTGGTATTTAGTCCACAGTCTTCCGTGGGCTCCAGCAGCCTTTGTCTCTAGTCCTGGGCCCTCTGACTATAGCAAACTGGACTAAGGATAGGAACCTGACCTATGCTGGAACAATTTTATTCTTACACTTGGAAATTTGGATTTCCTCTTTTGCTTACTTGAACTGAGAAGATGTAAAGTTTGACCGGGGTATCACCTTTTAGGCATTTACACACTAATAAACAGGAAAAACTGAGCTGTAGAGATAAAACAAAGTATAAACAAAGATGAGTGACAAAGTGACCGTAGAAAATCTGAGTGACTGGGGCTTGATTTTCTTTATCTGAGATCCCAGCCTCCTCTGGAATCCTCTACGGTCCAGTGAACTTCCTGCCTTGGGAGTCTCTGTGATTCTTCTGAATCTTTTTTTTTTCTCTTTATCTTTTTATTTGAGATGGGGTCTCACTCTGTAACCCAGGCTGGAGTGCAGTAGCATGATCTCTGCTCACTGCAGCCTCTGTCTCCCAGGCTCAAGTGATCCTCCCAGTTCAGCCTCCTGAGTATCTGGAACCACAGGTGCAGTGCGCACCACCACACCTTGCTAATTTTTTGTATTTTTGGTGGAGATGGGATTTCACCACATTGCCCAGGCTGGTCTCGAACTCCTGAGCTCAAGCAATCTGTCCACCTCAGCCTGCCAAAGTGGTGGGATCACAGGTTTGAGCCACCACACCTGATCGATTCTTCTGAATCTTTATAAATAAGTTCACTCTTTAGCTTATGCTAATTCAAATTATTCTAATATTCAAAACACCAAGAAGCACTGTCAAGAATATTTCCTGTCCAACTCCAGTCTAATGTATAAAAGTCCAGTCCCTCTTCTACCATGAGGGGAAGACTGCAACTTTATATATTTCTTACAATTCTCTCTGTGTTACCGTCTCATCTTCTGAAAACTACATAAACAAGATCCTCACAACACCACAGGAACAATTAAAGATTTGCAACATAGAAAAGACTAACTTTCCCGAAGTAACCAAGTCTATTAGGAATAATCATGTACAACAAATTATATAAACAAACTGAACACTTAGATTCAGAGTCTAAGACATCTGCATTTGGCTAACTTTATAGTTTTTTAAATTAATATTACTATAAATAAATAAATGTCCAAAGCTGATTTCAAGCTTCCATCTCCCGTAACAGCAAAACTGATTTCAGCTTTTAAACAACAGTTTTTACAGCAGCTTACTCATCAAAGTTTCAAAAAATCTCAGGATCTTGTTGTGAACTGAACGCAAGCCCGGGAATCTCGTCCAGCAAGAGGGTCCCAAACCCAGAAGAGAGCGTGCACCGGAAAAAAAGGAGAAAGAAAAAGAGCGAGGTCTGGAGGGCTACATGCGCTATGCTCATGCAGCAATTTTATTTTTGCAATATGTTCCATTATATACTTTTCTGAAGTTAATGTTGTTTATGCCAGATCAACATACTTAAGTTACAGTAAGCAAGTTACGCCTACTAAGTTACGCCCAGTAAGTAGGTTATGTCCAATAAGTCAAGGTAAGTAAGTTACGCCCAGTATATACTTAAGTTAATATTTTACAACGAATGTAACAAGGGTCCAAAATGAACACAATGAGACAATAAACCATAAGGAGCCGAAAGTGGACACCATGCTTCCCAAGTCCTCATATCCATAAAGTAATGTCTGTTAATTATTTTGAATAGCATAGTCCCTCTCTCGGTTCCTGCTTTCCCTCAGCTCGACTCCCCCAACCGGGGATCTGTGTCTGGGCTCAAGCTCACCGTATGGCGAAGCCCATTTCCTAGGGGCCTCACACGGGAGCGATCCCCACAGGTCTCCATTAGGATCTAAGTTACAAAAGGCCCTGGTTGTATGTTTCAGTAAGAAGCCTTGGTCTAGAAAAAAGGAGTGCCTGAGATAAAATGAACACCCATGTGTTACCTGTGTGGGTCAACTATATCCAAACATTTCTGAAGATTTCCTTAGTGATATACTTTAATGTGGACTTAAGTTACAAGAATACCAAGGCACCCCTCCCAGCTTACTGAAGCTAATATCTTGGGAAGAGAAAGGATATTACTTTCTTTCTTTTTTTTTAAAAGATGGGGTTTCACCATGTTAGTCAGGCTGGTCTTGAACTCCCGACCTCAGGTGATCCACCCGCGTTGGCCTCCAAAGTGCTTGGATTACAGGCATGAGCCACCATACCCGGCCAGGATATATCACTTTCAATTTGGGAAGGAAGTATAAATAATCTGAAAAACTTGGTAAGATTTTTGTAGATGTTCTCAGGATCAGTCCAGCATCAGTCAGGGATGCCACACTTCAGAGTACCATTGGGTAGGATGTGAAAGCTACCAAGATTGGAGGGGGCACCACCCAACCAGAAAACAGTAGTGTTTTGTGGCATCCCCTCAGATCTCAGTGAAATGAGAACATTCACCTCTTGGCAGTTTGTAAATAAATGGGCTGGATCTCCTTCTACTGGTGTGGAGGTAAGACTTGGACAGGGAGCTTTGGGAAAGTGGTGCTGCTGGAGAGAAGCTGGGGAATCAGCTCACTTATTTAGCCAAATATGAACTTCCATGCTGCTGCCATTGTGACTGCATTCCAGGCAAAGAAGGCCAACACATGACTTCTCTAGGCTCAGAGGAGGTGCCCAAAGGGGGTGGTTTGGAATGGAAATGATCCTGGTGGAGACTTAGGACCCCTAAGAGGTGTCTATGAAATCTGCTTGGTATTTCGGTTCCCCTGTAACCTAGTTGGAGTGCCAGAATGATGCATCCCTATACAGCTTGCCAATGTGTATTGTATTCCCAGGGTCCTAACTCTAGAGTGCCCAGTGCCTTGACTAAAAAAGCCTTATCCTTTCTTTCCCATGCTCTGCAAAACAGTTCAAATTACTCTCTGTGGCAATATATTGTTTACATTTCAGCCTGATCTCACCAGTGCTATGGGAAAATAACAGACGGGTCTGTTCTACACTTGAGACTTCCTAGTAAAAGTGAGGGATAGTGTCCTCTCCTCCCCATCCCTTCTTCATCCCATTAGCAACAGCCACAGCAGAGAGGCTATCAGTCATCTAGACCCAGGTGAAGTCAGAGACAGAAGCACAACACCCTGAAATGGGCCCAGGGAATAGGAATATGCACATGCACATTCTTGAACACACCTGAGATGCCCCCGTGAAACTTGTGAAAATGACTGAGAAAACTATCAGGGAGGGGAGCTAAATTCTTGCAATCCAGCAGATAAAAGTTTGGTCATTGAATTGGACAATAATTATTAGATATTAACGTATTCAAAGGCCTGGCACGGTGGTCACACCTGTAATCCCAGCACTTTGGGAGGCCGAGGCAGACGGATCACCTGAGGTCATGAGAGCAAGACCAGCCTAGCCAACATGGTGAAACCCCATCTCTATTAAAAACACAAAAATTAGCCGGGTGCAGTGGTGCACACCTATAATCCTGGCTACTCGGGAGGCTGAGTCATGAGAATTGCTTGAGCCTGGGAGGCAGAGGTTGCAGTGAGCCAAGATCACGCCACTGCACTGCAGCCTGGGCAACAGAATGATATTCCATCTCAAAAATTAATAAATAAACAAACAATAATAATAATAATAATGCATTCAGGCAATAAGAACATTATATTGTTGTCACAGGAAGATGAGACCTGGACATTTTGATTACATTTTGGGGGATTCCTTATGAGATCTGTATTGCAGACTAATTACTGACTCTTGAATTAGAACTAGCTATAACAACATGAAAAATAAGGTGGATACTTGATTTATAATTATACCTTAAGGACTCAGTTGACTTTCTCTAAACAATTGTAGTCTGTAAAGATAAAACAAAGCATAAACAAAGATGACTGACAAAGTGACTCTAGAAAATCTGAGTGACTGGCTGGCTTGATTTTCTTTATCTGCATAAAGATGAATCCAGGGCTCCAAGAAATAAACTACTTTAAGTGACATAAATTCAGGATTCTAATTTATTAAAGTTTTGTTTTTTGTTTTTTTCTTTTGAGACAGGGTCTCACTCTTTTTGCCCAGGCTGGAGTACAGTGGCACAATCTCAGCTCGCTACAACCTCTACCTCCCAGGCTCAAGCAATTCTCCCACCTCGGCCTCCTGAGGAGCTGGAATTATAGGTGCCCACTACCATGCCCAGCTAGTATTTATATTTTTTGTAGAGACAGGGTTTCACCTTGTTGCTCAGGCTGATCTCAAACTCCTGAGCTCAAGTGACCCCCTCCCTCAGCCTCCCAAATTGCTGATATCAGAGGCATTTGAACCAGAGCAATTCCATCTTGAATAGGAGCCGGGTAAAATAGGACTGAAACCCACTGGGCTGCATTCCCAGAAGGTTAAGGCATTCTTTGTCACGGGATGATAGGAGGTCAGTGCAAAATACAGGTCATAAAAGACTGCTGAGATAAAACAGGCTGTGGTAAGAAGGCAGCCAAAACCCACCAGAACCAAGATGGTAACAAAAGTGACCACTGGTCCTCCTCACTGCTCATTATATGTGAATTATAATGCATTAGCATACTAAAAGACACGCCCACCAGTGCCATGACAGTTTGCCATGGCAATGTCAGGGATTTATCTTACACGGTCTAAAAAGGAGGGGAACCCTTAGTTCAGGAATTGCCCACCCCTTCCCCAGAAAATTTATGAACAATTCACCCCTTGTGAATATGCAAGAAATAGCCATAAAAATGGGCAACCAGCAGCCCTCAGGGCTGTTTTTCTTATGGAGTAGCCATTCTTTTATTCCTTTACTTTCTTAATAAACTTGCTTTCACTTTACTCTATGGACTTACCTCGAATTCGTTCTTGCCCAAGATCCAAGAATCTTCTTATAGGGTCTGGATCAGGACCCCTTTCTGGTAACAGTAGGATTACAGGTATGAGCCACCACACCCAGCCCTAATTTATTAAAGATTTAAATAATAATCTAAGGCCTAAATTCTAGCCTGGGCACCCAGTTACATAAATATAATTGCAGCTTAGTCTTTTTGCCTAAATCTTTTAATCCATTTCTAGTTATTTCCTTGGAATTAATTTCCAGAAATGGAATTATTGACTCAAAGGAGATGAACATTTTTTTATTTTTATTATATTTATTTTTATTTTTGAGATGGAGTTTCACTCTTGTTGCCCAGGCTGGAGTGCAATGGCATGATCTCAGCTCACCACAACCTCCGCCTCCGGTTCAAGCGATTCTCCTGTCTCAGCCTCCTGAATAGCTGGGATTACAGGCATCCACCACCACTCCAGTCTAATTTTGTATTTTTTACTAGAGACAGGGTTTCTCCATGTTGGCCAGGCTGGTCTTGAACTCCCAACCTCAGGTGATCTGCCGCCTCGGCCTCCCAAAGTGCTAGGATTATAGGTATGAGCCACTGCGCCCGGCCAGAGATGAACATTTTTAAGTCTCTGGATATACCTAATCATATTACTTTGGTTATACCAATTTGCATGGTATGTACAGTAATGTGTATGGGAGTGTATAGCAGTTGCATTATCATTTAAAAATCTGTTAATATGGTGGTTGAAAAGTTACATCTTGTTATTCATTTGATTTACCGTTCTTTAATGATTGATTGAGGTTAAATTGCTTTTACTATGTTTATTAGACAGTAATAGTTGTTTTGTGCATGTCTGTTCAAAGATAACTCGTTTATTTGAGTTTTTGTCTTTTTAATACTTTGTGTATCCTTTTACCATATTAAGGCCATTAACCTTTATCTTTCATAATTGTTGCAAATATATTCTCTAGTTTTTCTTTTTATGCCATTGAATTGTCTACCTGCCTTTGATTTTAGTTTCTTCTCAAGATCATGAAGGATACTGCCCCTTAATTTCAAATGTCATGCCCCATGGCCAAATAAATGATGCTCTACCTCAGAGTAGGGCTCAGGTGCTCCCCTCCTGCTTATGTGAGGAGAATAGATGGAACTCCTGCTTACGTGAGGAGAATAGATGGTTTACTCATACCTGTTTTCTTTCACAATATCCACCCAATATTCCTCTCCAGAGGCCCTGGTTTCATATATGCACTTTGAGACATAGTCTATGCTAATACAAATAAATACACACATATTTTCCTTCTTTTAATAGCATTTCCCTCTTCATAACGCCAGATAGAAACCTTGTAATTTCTTACTGTTATCGTTAGTGCCTTGCTCAGTACTGTGCCCAACTAATGCCTACTCAGTGCATTTTCATAAAGATGCTGAGGACAGCCAGCATCTTTTCTTTCTCATCACCCACAAGATACAAATTTCTTTGTGTAAATTTGTATCTTGTGGATGATGGGAAAACTGTCAGTGTAATGTTATCTTTCCTCTAAATTTTTGGTTTGATTGGAAAACTCATGCATATGATATTTTTAGCCCCCAAAACTTATTTTGAAATATTTTATGTTGCACTTTCAGATTTATTTAAATTCACATAAAATTTGACATAAATAATATTATCTTCATAGCGGGCATTTGTTATACCACATATCTAACATAGATTTAAGTTCTCTTCCACTGCTAGGAGAAGAACAAGCTGACCTTGAATCTTAAATGCAACAGAGGTCAAGATATTTGCTTTATCTTCCAGCCATGATCTATCACTTCTCTTTTAATTCAGCAAGCCACATTAGAATATTATCAATCACAATGCTTAGCAGTAACACCTTGTTAATGACAAAAGAGTTTTTCCTAGGGCAGGTATGGTGGCTCACACCTATAGTCCCAGTACTTTGGGAGGATCACTTGAGGCCAGGACTTTGAGACCAGCCTGAACAACATAATGAGACCTTGTCTCTAGAAAAGAATTTAAAAAATTAGCCAGGAGTGGTGGCACACATCTGTAGTCCCACCTATTCAGGAGGTTGAGTGGGAAGATTGCTTGAGCCCTGGAGGTGGAGGCTGCAGTGAGCAATGATAGTGCTGCTGCACTTTGGCTAGGCAATAGAGCAAGACCCTGTCTCTAAAAACAAGCAAACAAACAAACAGTTCTTCCCATAGAGTAAAGAGAGTATAACCCATTATATAGGACTGAAAAAAACCTGGAATAGGAGGGAAAAAGGGTACACTGAGGATACCAAAGAAATGGCTACATTGACAACTTGGTTGAGATCCATCCTGCACTTGGAGAGGTGAAGGCCAAAAGATCTTGGAGGAAGAAGGATGAAGGGCCAATTTGTGTGGGCAGAAAGCTCTGGAATTATGGGGGGCCTGTGGCATTTAATTTGGTGTCACTCACAGGGTGGCTTGGGTGTGTGGCTCCAGCACAGCTCATGGTTGCATAAGGTCCAGAGTCCTGCGTAGAGCTCAAGGCCATTCCTGTTCACCAGGAACTGCACCCAGTTCAGTGGGGACATGCCGATCAGCATTAAGAGGCTAAAACTACAGAGGCTGCCACAGAGCATTCGGATGTAGATGTGTGCCTGATCCACATGCTGCTGCCGCCTCTGGGATGACATCGAGGCACTTGGATCTTTGTTGGCAGGGAGGGTAGGCTACAAGGATGAGGGAAATATTGCCTACTCAAAAGGATAACCTCTGATTCCCCGGGCCACCTACTCACTACCTCAAGCATTCCCATGTGTTTGATTTATGGATATCTTCCCCTACTCCTAAAAAAAACACACTAAATTTTCAGGGTGATCTTTTCTGTCTTTAGGATGCTCTGTCTAGCCCCGCCTTTAAGTAAGTCCTCTTTTTCCCATCTGACTTTCAATTAGATTCCTCCTCACCCTTTGGTATTTCCGGTCCCCCTTTATTTTGGGAACCTCAGGACTGTGCAAAGTTAAGGTTAAATGTTCCCTCTGCTCCATCTTGGGCGCCAGTTCTCTTTCTAACTGCCACGGAATTTGCCTCTGCATCTCCTCACACACGCTGGCAGAAGCAAAAAGGGCCAGGACCCCCGGCACAGATCGTGTTTCTGTTTTGTATTTTTGGTTTGATCACATCAGGAAGAGATCATCACATTTGAAGTATATGCATTTATATATGATGCTCCCCACCCTCCATTCTCCACCTCCGCCCAACTCTTTCAATAAATAAATCCGCAAATATTTTGTTAGCAGTTGCTGGGTGTCAGGCTTTGTGCTGGGACACAAAAACTAGTAAGTCACAGTTCCCTCATAGTAAATAATAAAAGGGGAACTCATATGCTTGTTGACCACATGTATTTCTTCTTTTGAAAAGTGTCTGTTCGTGTCCTTTGCCCATTTTTAATGGGGTTGTGTTTTTCTTATAAATTTATCTAAGCTCCTTATAGATGCTAGATATTAGACATCTGTCAGATGCAGAGTTTGTAAAAAATTTCTCCCATTCTGTAGGTTGTCTGTTTATGCTATTGATAGCTTTTTTTGCTGTGCAGAAGCTCTTTAGTTTAATTAGATCCAATTTGTTAATTTTTGCTTTTGTTATAATTGCTTTTGGCAATTTCTTCATCATGAAATCTTTGCCGGTTCCTGTGTCCAGATCATTAGAGAAATTAAAACCACAATGAGATACCATCTCACACCAGTCAGAATGTCTATTATTTAAAAGACAAAAAATAACAGACTGTGGCAAGGTTGTGGAGAAAAATGAACACATACACTGTTGATAGGAGTGTAAATTATTAATTCAAACATTGTGGAAAGCAGTGTGACAATTCCTCAAAGACCTAAAGACAGAAAGAACTACCATTTGATAGAGCAATCGCATTATTGAGTATATGCCCAAAGGAATTTAAATCATTTTATCATAGAGACATGTGCATGTGTACGTTCACCGAAGCACTATTCTCAATGACAAAGACATGAAATCAATATAAATGCCCATCAATGGTAGACTGGATTAAAAAAACGTGGTACTTATCCATCATGGAATACTATGCAGCCATAAAAAAGAACAATATCATGCCCTTTGCAGGAACATGGATGGAGCTGGAGACCATCATCTTTAGCAAACTAATGCGGGAATGGAAAACCAAATACTCCATGTTCCTACTTATAAGTGGGAGCTAAATGATTAAAACACATGGACACATAGAGGGAAAAAAACAGACACTGGGGCCTATCAGAGGGTGGAGGGTCAGAGGAGGGAGAGGGTCAGCACAAATAACTAATGAATACTAGGCTTAATATCTGGGTGATGAAATAATCTGTACAACAAACCCCCATGACATAGGTTTACTTGTGTAACAAATCCCCCCTGTACCTCAGAACTTAAAAGTTAAAAAAGGGGGCAACTCAGATGTTTCCAGAACTCTATTGGTTGTAGTTCTAATTTAAAATTATATTCCAAGGCCGGGCGCGGTGGCTCATACCTATAATCCCAGCACTGTGGGAGGCCGAGGTGGGTGGATCACAAGGTCAAGAGATCGAGACCATCCTGGTCAACAAGGTGAAACCCCATCTCTACTAAAAATACAAAAATTAGCTGGGCATGCGCCTGTAGTCCCAGCTACTTGGGAGGCTGAGGCAGGAGAATTGCTTGAATCCGGGAGGCGGAGGTTGCGGTGAGCCGAGATCATGCCATTGCACTCCGGTCTGGGAAACAACAGCGAAACTCTGTCTCAAAAAAAAAAAAAAAGAAAAGAAAAATAAAATTATATTCCTATCAGTAGCCAGTAGCCTGGAGTTCATGACAGGTTTGTCTCAGTAGGCTCATGAACCAGTCTGTCAGTGATAGTCCTTCATACAGCAACCATCTTTTTCTTCCTTTTTTGCTCTGGTTCCCTCTTTTCAATGCCCTCTACTCATGAAGCTATTTAAGGGTGCTGCTGTACCACTGCCACTACTGACAGGACCCACTATGAATATGCCAGTATCTATAGTTCAGAAGACTATAAGCCAATGTGCTAAAAGTCACTGTTCTTCAAGATACCATAGCAGTGCTGGGTTCAAAATGTTCCATATGACCTCCAAAGCAGCACTCTGTAATAGCCCCAAATTGAAAACTACCCAAATGCCCATCAACAGAAGAATAGAAGATTGTGGTCTATTTATACAATGAAATACTATACAGCAATGCAAGTAACCTACAACCACCTGAGCAAAGAGGGATGAATCTTATTAACATAATGCTGAGCAAGGGAATCCAAACACAAAAGAGTGCATATATATGATTCTATTCATATGAAGTGCAAAACAGGCAAAACTAATCTATGTTGTTAAAAGTCAGAAACACTCTGGGAAGGAAGATGGCTAGGGAATAGGAGACATGCAAAGTGTTCTTGGGATACTAGAAAGGTTCTTTCTTGATCTGTGCACTGATGATCAGCTTTATATATGCACATTTTTTCTATATGCATGGTTTTTCTATCTGCATGGGGTTTTGTTTTGTTTTGTTTTTCTTTTTTGAGGCAAAGTCTTGCTTTGTCACCTAGGCTAAAGAGCAGTGATATGATCGTGACTTACTGCAACCTCTGCCTCCCAGGTTGAAGCAATTCTGCCCCAGCCTCCCAAGTAGCTGAGACTACAGGTGCCTATCACCATGCCCGCCTAATTTTTGTATTTTTAGTAGAGATAAAATTTCACCATATTGGCCAGGCTGGGCTTGAACTCCTGACCTCAAGTGATTCACCCGCCTCAGCCTCCCAAAGTGTCTATATGCATGTTATACTTCAATTAAAAGTTAAAAAAGGCTGGGCATGGTGGCTCATGCCTGTAATCCCAACACTCTGGGAGGCTGAGGCAGGTGGATCACTTGAGGTCTGGAGTTCAAGACTAGCCTGACCAACATGGCAAAACTCCATCTACTAAAAACACAAAAATTAGCCAGGCATGGTGGTGCATGCCTGTAATCCCAGCTACTGGGGAGGCTGAGGCAGGAGAATCACTTAATCCCAGGAGGTGGAGGTTGCAGTGATCAGAGAGAAGGCCATTGGACTCCAGCCCGGGCAACAAAAGCGAAACTCTATCTAAAAAAAAAAAAGAAGTTAAAAGAATAATTTGAAATTATGCATCAAGAAGCTTAAAAATGTTTGTATCTTTTGTCTCAGTAATTTCATCCCTAAAAATCTATAAAATCAATAACTAAGATTATTACAGTTTATTTCTATATCATCCTGTCTACCAGGAACTGTGCTTTTTAACCTACTTGCTTTTTGAATCATTAACCTACTTGCTTTTTGAATCATTAACCTACTTGCTTTTTGAATCACAATTTTTCACTTTATTTTCTGATTCATTATTGCTAATGAATAAATTATTTCTTCAATGTATTTACCTTTTATCTGATCACTTAACTGAATTATTTAAATTCTAATCATACTCTTGGGCAATTTCTCTTAGATTTTCTAGGTAAACATCATCCTATCATCTGCAAATGATGATAATTCTGTTTCTCCCTTTACAAAATATGTCATATTGCCAGACATGGTGGCTCGCACCTGTAATCCCAACACTTTGGGAGGCTGAGGTGGGTGGATCACTTGAGGTCAGGATTTGAGACCAGCCTGGCCAACATGGTGAAACCCTGTCTCTACTAAAAATACAAAAAAATTAGCCAGGCATGGTGGCACGAACCTGTAATCCCAGCTACTCGGGAGGCTGAGGCAAGAGAAACGCTTGAATTCAGGAGGCAGAGGTTATAGTGAGCTGAGATTGAGCCACTGCATGCTAGCCTAGGTGACAAAGTGAGATTCCAACTCAAAAAAAATAAAGTCATATTGCATTGATTAGACCTTTTAGAATTGTCTACACGAAATATTAAGGGTGGTGGGCATCGTTATCTCACTCTTGACTGTCGTGGAACTGGTTTTATTGGTCTTTGTTCATTTGTATATTCATTTTTGTGTTAAAGTTCCATTCCATTTCTATTTAATCAAGATTTTAAAATTTGGAATGGCTGTATCAAATTCCCTCGGCCTCTAGAATATGCCTTTTCTTCTTTAATCTGTTTAGTGTAAAAATTGCATTGATACATTTCTCAACATTTATCTGATTTTACATTCCTATAAAATATTTATGAACACAGTACATTATTCTTTAATATTAGGAGTATTTGTTTATATATTCAAGCCAAGAATTATCTAGAATTTTAAAAATATATCCACATGTTTAGATATTTAATTTTTTTAGTTTTAATAAATTATGGTCAAATAACATGTCCTACAAGATCTCTTATCCTTTTCGAATTTTGTAACATTTGTCATTTAGCCAGTTTTTCTAAATGTCCTACAGGCATTTATAAACAATGTAAGATACAAAGTTTTCAATATATTTGTGTAGAATGTAAGATTCTAAATCTATCACATTAAAATTGTCGATAATGATATTCAGGTTGTTTCTATTCTTGTGAATTTTTTTCTCCACTTGATAAAAATTAAAAATAGGCTGGCATGGTGATTCATGCCTATAATTCCAGCACTATGGAAAGCTAGAGTTGAGCAGATGGCTTGAGTCCAAAAGTTTGAGACCAGCTTGGGCAACATGGTGAAACCCCATCTCTACAAAATATATAAAAATTAGCCAGGTGTGGTGGTGCACATCTGAAGTCCCAGCTACTGCTGACTGAGATGGGAAGATTGCTTGGGCCAGGGAGGTTGAGGATTCAATAAGCCATGTTCATGCCACTGCACTCCAGTCTGGGTTACAGAGTAAGATCCTGTCTCAAAATAAATACATAATTAAATAATAAAAATGAAATAAAAAGAGACTATTAGCTCTTTATATGTGCACATGAAAGGATGACCCTAATATATTATCAAATATTTTGCAAAATAATTTATCAAAATTTTTTGCAAAACAAATTATCAAAAAATTGCATAATAGTGGTTAGATTGTGTCCTGATTTTTTGTTTTGAAGCATTATAAATGTGTGTATACAGAAAACAGTCAGGCTGGGAGCCATGGCTCATGTCTATAATCTCAACACTTTGTAATGAGGAATTCAGGAAGCTGAGGCAAGCAGATCTCTTGAATACAGAAGTTCAAGACCAGCCTGTGCAACATGGCAAAACCCTGTCTCTGCTAAAAACACAAAAATTAGCCAGGCATAGTCTCAGCTACTTGGGAGGCTGAGTTGGGAGGATCACTGGAACCTGGGATGTCGAGGCTACAGTGAGCAGTGATTGCACCACTGCACTCCAGCCTGGGCGACAGAGCAAGACCCTGTCTCAAATAAAAATAAAAGAAGAAAAGAAAATGATGGTCATATATAGAAATAACCAGCCGGGCGTGGTGGCTCACACCTGTAATCCCAGCACTTTGGGAGGCTGAGGCGGGTGGATCACGAGGTCAGGAATTCAAGACCAGGCTGGCCAGGATGGTGAAACCCGGTCTCTACTAAAATTACAAAAATTAGCTGAGCGTGGTTGCAGGTGCCTGTAATCCCAGCTACTCAGGAGGATGAGGCAGAGAATTGCTTGAACCTGGGAGGCAGAGGCTGCAGTGAACCGAGATCATGCCGCTGTACTCCAGCCTGGGCGACAGAGCAAGACTCCATCTCAAAAAAAAAGGTATCCAAGAGAAAGATCCAAAAGGCACTCCAAACAGGAGTAAGACATTTAGACTGTTCTCTTACCACTGAAGAGTCCACTCCTAGCATCAGTGAAATTATGTGTTTTGGAAACCTGTATGACAGCAATATGTCACTAACATTTTATGAACCCAAATGTTAGTGGATGGCCAAAGTATTACAGGAATCTGTGCTCTAAGGTTCCTGGAGGCTGTAGCCTGGCTATTAGTCAAGGGAGGAAAATAAGATATGGAGAACTCAAGCAGGAAGAGAATGGGAAGAAGGCAAGGAGTGAGCAAGGCCCATTGGGAAATTCCAGTGCACAATAATATAAGATCTGAATCGCTTTCTGTAAAGGATTTAGATACTCAGTGTTTCCAGTTCATCATTGTCCCACCTCCCTTCAGGAGGTTTCCAATTATTTTTGTGGATTTGATCAACATAAGCAGCCCTGCCATAAAATGTAGCATCATCAAGTCTCTAGGAATGAGGCCTAAGGATCCAAGTTAGGCTCAAGATAACCCTAGTCAGGAGCTGCTCTCAGGATGCCTGGGGAAGAAGGATATATATATAGTCTAGGTAGAAGGAGTCCCCACTGAAAGGGCTTTAAACCACACATAGCTGTCATAGCCCTATAACTCTGCCCTATTTTGATCTAAAAATCCTAATATCAGAGGCCCTGGACTATTGGTCTAACCCTGGATGGGACTTTTGATGTTTTTCCATGGGTTTTGCCAACCTTGATATAAGCTTAAAGTGGGAAAAGCCCCAATCAAACAGCTCCCATGGTAAAGGGGATATTACCAATACATTGTTCAGCTGTGCGTGGTGGCTCACGCCTGTAATTCCAGCACTTTTGAGAGGCCAAGGTGGGCGGATCACCTGAGGTTGGGAATTTGAGACAAGCCTGACCAACATGGAGAAACCCTGTCTCTACTAAAAATACACAATTAGCCGGGCATGGTGGTGGGCATCTGTAATCCCAACTACTCAGGAGGCAAGAGAATTGCTTGAACCCAGGAGGCAGAGGTTGCAGTGAGCCGAGGTTGCAGTGAGCCGAGATTGCACCATTGCTTTCTGGCCTGGGCAACAAGGGCAAAACTCCGTCTCAA